CGAATCAAACTAGAGTGTCCACACCAAACTGCCGCCTTAAGGTTCTAAGGGAAAACAAAACTATGCGTAGGACGCCTAAATGTGTGTCGTGTGTGGCCATGACCTGTTCCTGTGTGTGAAGACGTGGTCTATAACAGCCACGTCCACGGTGCTAGCAAAACAGCCCTGGTTCTTTGCCTACGACGGTTCCTGGTCTCTTCACATGAGCTTCTCGTTTTTAAGCTGTCGAAAAGATTATCTATTGAGAGCCAGATATTCTTCGAATTCACTAACCTGAGTATACGCAGTTAAATTATAACTTAGTTTTAGATGTATTATTACTACTTCCGTGCTGAAGTGTTGTACACAAGAAAGTATCCGTTTTTAGTAAGCTTTTTTCTTTATGTAGATGGGAGCAAAACAATTAAAAGAGATGAAGACCCAGTTCGGAGTTGTGATGGGGTCATTTTGCTAGTACCACAAGTTCCGTAGCTATATATTATTATCATACCTTACTTATTTCCTATCTTCGGAATACTCAGTCAATCAACCGTAGCCGTGCTATCAATTGTAATGATCATACTGGACCACCATCTTAAAAAAATACTGTCAAAGGGTCAGTCTATCAGGACCTGCCCAGTCTCTGTCCCTAAAGTTGTGACAGAATTATATTTTCCAGTCGACGGCTTTTATCTCAGACGTCATTTCAAGCAATCGCGATAAGGCTAGGGGACCTTACGCGTCGATTTGCCTATAGTGAATACTAGGCATAGATTGGCGAACGAATCTGGTTGGGGGATGTTCAACCTCGAAGAGAAGTGGATCGGGGGCCGCAAAGGATGAGAACTGATTCCCTAGTCAAAAGTGTTCAGCACAATCGATCCAGTCTACTCTCGATAACTCATTTTGGCGAGATGCTATGGATAACAACATTCGGTGAAGACCGCGATTCCTCATTCTTTCCACGACTAGAGATAGTGGCTCTACTATGTAACATATCGCGATGTTAACGACCACTAGATAAGTGCTCTGTAAATCAGGTTGTCCCGTTACGCGCTGGGGCAGTAAAGCTGACTACGTCATACTTTCCAATCATGTCTCAGAGCAGGGGCGATGCGTTTTTACGGAAAGCCAATGCCATCGAAGTTCGGTGGATGTCTGAAAGTTGACGGACGCGGTGGTCATGATCCAAATTCCAACGTGCTTCAATCCTTAGCCTTTCGTCATAGTGGTCATCTCCATCCTCTCCATGTAAGCATGATCTTTGAGATCACTGCTGTATTCACTTTCATGCAGTACCTTTCTTGATCATAATAACGCCAATCGCACTGCTTTCCATGGAGATGCTGAAGCGGGCCGGAATCACGCTCTACTTGGCGTATGGTTGTCCATGTTTAACTCGTTCCCTTTCTAGTAAAATGACACCTTCATCCCTACGTCCAGCAAGCCTCAAACAAATACGTGCTCGCACTAGGGCATGATCTGAATCCAAACATGTGCCCCAGAACGAGCGACAGTCTTCTATCGAACCCCTCCATCGGTGGCTGATGGCGATGTGATCTAGTTGAGTCCAACGTTGAGACGACTTCGGGGGTCGCCAGGTCAACAGATGCTTTTCCTTATGCCTAAAGTTGGTGTTCGCTAAGAATAGGCGGTTATCTGAGCATAGTTGCAACAGACGGTCGCCATTGTCTGTTCTCTCAGTCGCTACACCATAACATCCACCAAGATGTCTTTCATTTTCACCTAGTCTACCTACTTGAGCATTAAAGTCACCAGCCATTATTACTATATCAGAGTGCCTAGCTTTTTGGAGGAGGTCCGAAAGCTTTCTGTAAAACTCATCTTTAACCTCGTCTGCACTGCAGTCAGTGGGGGCATAGGCAGATATGACGAAGAGGCAACGGCGAGTGTCCCTATCCTTACGAGTCCTTACTGTCCCGTTTAGTCGGACAGCGCACAAACGACTATCTACTGGGATCCAGTCAAGGAGAGATAATTCTGCCCTAGGACTCAACGCTATGCCTACGCCAGCAAGACCCCTGGAAGCAGCATCAGGGCTACCGGATACACGAAGAGTAAATCGAGCTGCTTCTTCGTTTTGACAAGGGGGAATCAGGTTAATGACTTTACTAGGATCCTGTATGCGCGTTTCCGAGACGCAGCATACATCGATGGCACGAGTTTCTAAAGTCCTAGCTAATGATGCCTGTTGCCCTATTTGACACAATGTCCGTACATTAAAAGCTCCAACATGTAGTCTAGAACGGGGTTTCAAGAGACCAGGAACGACGTTTCGTGATCTCGCTTCGTCTGCATTAGCGGTGCAGTGAGAAAAGGGAGTGTGAGTACAGTTAGTCGTAGAGATAAGAGAGACATTAGGGGGTATAGGAAGGATTTGATTTCGACCAATTTGGTCTCGCGTGCTGTTACGGGTATGAGGGCGGTTGTCACTTCCCGGCTGCCCACACCGTGGAAGGTTGTTTCTTGAGGGACCTGAAAAGGAAGATGGATTAGTGTTGGTGCGTGACCGCAGAGCCCAAGGGACAACTGCTTGAGGCCAGTCACGCATGGCCTTTTTATGAGAGGTATTTAGAGGATTAGCTCCGTTCTTAAAGGCCCTTAGTGGGCACCCTTACCCAAGGAGACGGAAATCCGTGAGGTAGGGGAGGTGTGACATTTTTAGGGCCGACCTTTTCTAACCCTTCCTTCCTTGTGAGAAGGCAGCATCGCTGCAGATGCTGGTTGTCCGAGGGAAACACCTTACTGCTGTCACACCCCTCTGCAGTCAGCAGTACGACTTCGCACTCAGACCTTGGGTAGCTGCTTTTAGTCTCATTGTTCTTCAATCAACCTGCCTGGCATGGTAGAACCTTCAGGAACATATGTTCCAGCCAGTATAGCTCGGTTGGGTCATCACGATAGGCAAGCCCGACCACCACGTCAAGGTAGCAGCTTCGGTCGGGACCAAACTTCAAGTAACGATATCGATCTGAAGGCTACTGATATAGAAAGAGCTGCTTAAACCGAAATAAGTGTAGCAGCTTCAGATCCTGGCTAACCGATAGACTAGGTTGAATAGACACATCAGTTGAAGAGATGGGTGAGAGGCGATGACGGGTACACGTTATTGGTTACAGTTTTTCATTATTATCATATGGTTGGATCAACGCTTAATTTTCCGGTGAACTCACAACTATATTAATCAATGACTTTGTATGTATTAAGATTCTGATTAGTCAAAAACCCTTCCTTATTCAAGTACCTGGTTTGGCTTGGGTACAGGAAGCATGAATTAGTATCATACGAAGACGACCGCTAAAGATTGAATTAACTGGGAGCGGTCGATCAGTGAAATAGGATTCTCGAGATTAAATAACCTGATTGCATAACTTTAGAGTGAGGAGCCTATTGAATTTTTGAAGAAACATATGTTAATTAGGTAGTAAAAAGACGTGATTAATAAATATCAACAGACAGGAATTCATTCGGCTACAACGTAGAACTTCGTACGAAAATACATCAGTTTAAGTTGCCATTCCATATTAGCACAGAGACGCAATTATCAGTTCAAATCTCATAATAGTAGATGTAGCATTAATCGAAAAGATAAGGGTTTGAAGATATGATTCAAGAAGTATAATCCAGTGGAAAAAAATTTTAAAGAGAAAGATGAAGGTCATGAAGAATTATGATTAGAAATCGGGAGAACGAAAAGAATGGATGCACTGCGCCATTGCCAACGATTTTGAGCTAACAGGAATTCTTGGGACATGATTTACTGCCGACCTTTTAAAACCATCTAACTGGTCGTAAATTGCGACGAGTCGTTTCGCTTAGTGACTTAATCGTTTAATAAGTACGATTTCCATCGCTGTAAAAGAAATACCGATTAAATAGTCTGTTTATAGAAAAAATCTACGATTATTTTATTTTGAACTTGTTTAATGAGTGCACTCACATCCAAATGAGTACTATTTCGACGTCTGAATCTCGAATTCTGCCATTATAACAACAAACAGTCAAGTCACTAACGAATGAGGATTTACAAGTTTCTCCTACCATACAGATTAGGCAGTTCAGTTCTTTAAACCAACAAAACACTTGTTCACTATTACGCATGGAATAAAAATTCGGAGCATCAGCAAGTTATGCAATTAAGAAATTTTATAATCAAAAGAACAACCTTTTACAATATTTTAGTCTAGTTATAGAAACATTACGGAACCCTAAGAAATATTCTATCTAATTTCACGACTTAGAGTTTTCATAAATGTGGAATTATTAGTCCAGGTCACGCGAGAAAAATAATCAAGAATAATATCAATGATACATTCGTGCGTTGTGCTAATATGTTCACAATTCCAACCACGATAGAATGAGCGAAACTACAGATTTCTTCTTTCCTCCTTCGTTAGCTAGAGAGAAGTCTGATTTTGCAATGAAAGACTTGTTGATGCCGTAAAATTAAAAATGCCTTTTGAAATTCAGCTTTATAAAATTTACACCGATCAGAGTATATGAACTAAGTAGTTGTCAACAGACAGCCGGCAAGAATCTTTAAAAGTGAACATACTAATATAACGAGAATTTGCTGGAAGTTGACCATATATTTACTTTATGTCGATAGTGATTTACTCCCTCATTAGCTGTTTTTCGGGATTATCTCCAATAATAAATAAATCAGTTTTCGTTAAAACAAAGGTTTGACTGCAATAGTGTACCGACATAGTGATCTTATTCGCCCGACATGTCTTTAGACCTTCGGTGAACCAACGCCGGTTATTCGGTTTACAAATGGCATATATATATGAATAATTTGATTTTTACATTGGAATACAAAGGTATAAACAACTTATTTCTGCAACTGAGATTTTATCAACTTACTTTAGTCGGAGAGGACAGTAAATCCCTATCCTCGACTAGTGGCGTATTTTTACTAACATCGTCATAACTACTTGACTTTTGCAGTAATTTACAACTCAACTCCATGCAATCATTGTCAGGCATTTTATCTGGGAAAATAACAAAAGCAGATCTCTCCACACACTTCTTACCGTCAACACTTAGTATATTCGCATGAAGAGTAAGTTTAGCATATTTTACGTCTTTTTCTGAAACAAGAATACTGCGTACACCAATTGGAATAGAACAACCGCCTCCAAGTTGATGCATTAAACTACGCTCAGCAACAGCTGTTAAGGCAGCTGACTCGTCATGAATACGTGATAACAAATTCGTAATAAAAGAGTCACTCTGACGACATTCACAAACCAGTGCACCTTGACTGACAGCATAAAAAGTGTCCGTTAAAACCTACAAGAGGTAAACATACAAGAACAGAAAATGACTCATAGCAATTAAGGTAAAGTTTGATCCCTGTTTCACTTTTGTATTGGAAAGTTACAAAATCAACTACTAAAGTATTGAAACCCTATAAATTAATCGACATTTTTCAGCAACTAAGGAAATCCAGTTAAATTTTTATTGCCAGAATATTTGCAACCAATTTCTTATGCTAGCTCTACCTCATTAAGTGGAACAGTCGTTACTGGCCATGGAGAACAGGATAGTTGGGGTGGTGTCTCCGGGACACCAAACCAGCTGGACAGTCAGTCAGTTAGCCAGCTGCAACGTAGAACTTTGTACCTGAGTACATCAGTTCATGTTGACATACCACATTAGCACAGACACGCAATTGTCAATTCAAATCCTATAGTGGTAGAGATAGTAGAAGTACTACTGATAAAGGAGAAGATTAGGGTTCCAAAATATTACTGAAGAACCCAAATCTTCTCCTTTACCAGCTGGACAGTCACTCCATGGTGGGATTTCGTAAGGAACTCCGACCCCTGAAGTGCAATAAACCATCAGGCTCGTGTGACTGAGGGCCATGTTTGTGAAACCTAGCCTCTTGGTGCTCGAATATCGTTGTCACCAAAGGAATGTCGGCATTAATTGACATTATGATACTATTAAGAGGTTCAGGAAGCTATGTCCGGGTACAGTGACAATAATTTAGTTGGTATCAGCCTTTGGAAACACGAGTTGGTAGCTTTGATATGTGCTGCGGATGTCAATACTGGGATTAGGTGGAAAAAGCGCTGGTCAGTTTACGATATGATGTGACGGTATAAAATAAACCTGTGCAGGAATGGTATCTGTAGGATATTCACGACTTCGTGGTTGTGACCCTAAAAGTAGTGCAGGACAGAGAATAAAAGTCGGTGAAGGTTTTGCTGTTATTTTCTCTTCTTTGTATGAGAGGAATCACCAAAACTGAAATTCTTTTTGGTCGTTTTTCTTAACAGAACTGCTTATCCTATTTTTTTCTGCTGTCCGATTATTGTTTCTCATCATACTTGTTTTCCTTTTATAGATTTTCCTTCCTCATTATTGTCTCTAAGAACGCTTGTTCATAGAGGGTAGATGGTGTTATCACTAAATGTAAGCAACCTTTCAGAAGTAACAACCAAAACCCTCAGCACACTGGCTAGGTTTCGAATACAAAAACCTAATACAACAGGAAAACTCAAGAGTACAAATCACCCATACCAATACATAAATGAATACCAGGGTGTCGAAAGGTAATCATTTCTAAACAAGTGCTAAATGTCAGTCACATACACGTTCAATACTAGAACATTGTGTTGCAAACCTAACTAACTGTAAATCCATAGTGCACTCAGCACAGATCAAAGTTTAGTCATTGAACGGCAGGTCTTATCAAATAATAGATGAAAGTAAATACAAAACCAAAGTACAGGCTGGATCCCGTGTACTGATTTACAGAGACACCTTAGCAAATAATAGTAAGAGTGAATAAACGCCGATTTGTAAAAAAACTGAATGCCTCAAATACCTAGAGTAAATAACTTCATATATACAATGTAATGTTTTACCGAAGTATAAAAAAAATAGTTTTCGACCGACTATGAATGGAGACTTTCTTACTGTGTCGCAAATGATCATCCCAACACCCATATGACTAACTGAAATAACGGTTAGTAAAAGAAACGGTTTTGTACTTCTTTTTTATTAGTATACAGAATAAAATGCCAAACTGTACTTAGTCACGAGTTTTGTCAAACATTAGTCGACCTTATTGAGAATTCAATAAATGTCTAAATTCCTAAAAAAATGGTGGCTAAAAAATATTTAGAATACAAAACCAACCTCGTCAATGCGGTCGGACCAACCCATTCTCTCAACTCCCGCCTTGGCCAAGATGATAGCATCATAACTTGCAGATAGACTGCCCGCGCAGCAATCATCTTGTGAAGACAAAGGAGCATCTAGTTTGGCAAGCCTTGTATTTAGATTTCCACGTATAGATACAAACTTTAGGTGAGGATATTTGCGTGCAAGTGTAGCCACGCGCCGGACGGCACTCGTCCCAACTGTTGATCCTGTGGGGAGATCAGATAACTTCATTCCACGATTATGTGGAGCCATTAAAACGACATCTTCTGGAGATGCCCTGGCAAACACACATCCAAGGACCAAACCAGTAGGAAGGACTGATGGAACATCTTTAAGTGAGTGTACGACAAAATCAACTTCTTCAGCCAGCAAGGCATTTTCAAGCTCCTTTGTAAACAAACTTTTGTCGCCTATCTTTGACAGCGAAACATTGAGAATTTTGTCTCCGACAGTTGACATCTTTACAACTTCGAAAAAAATATGTGGATTTTGTTCTTTGAGTAAATCGACTGCAATTGCAGTTTGAAGAAGTGCTAAATCACTGCGCCTCGACCCTACACGCACAACAGTTCGAGGTGAGGTATTGAGCATGATGATGTGTAGCCGTTTGAATCAAGCTAGAAGGTATCTTTTGCACTATGGGACCATGGGGTGACGTGAGCCAGAATGACTAGAAAAAATAATAAAGGAACAGGTACGTTGACGACCCAGAAAGCACATAAAATGCATTGAAATTTAATAAGGATAGCAACGAACAATAACCAGTAATCATGCAAGTTTTTTGACTCTGAAAAATGAAACTATGAGCAGAAAGCGTGATTAGTGAATTGGAATTCGCGCGGGGTCAAACGCAGTTTCTGTTGTTCTTCAAATTTGATGATAACTAAAGAATCATGTACTTCTATTAACCTGTGTCCTGGTAGTGTGTAAAAAATTATGGTTTGGGATGACGTATACTTTTTGACACATTTCTTCTGAGTTTTCAAGTGATGATGTCATGAATAGTCAGAATTGAACAACGCTTCTGTCCGCATCATTTTCTAAATCAAGGAAACCCGAAATAAAGTCGAATCAGAAGTAGACAACGAGGAGGGTTGAAGATAAATTTCACTGATAGAAAGGATATCGAGAGGAAGTGGATTTAAACGTTAACTACGCTATAAACCGTTATATTAATCAAACTTAAGCACATAGTATATACCAGTTGCTTCATGTTGTTGTAGATTTATCCATATTTGATTGAAGTCTCAGTACCATTTTACTGGCGAATAACGTGGTCTGCTGGATCGTCTTTAAACATTCCGTCGGGACAGGATTCGGTATTATGACAATGAATAAGGTTTCTGAAGTTCATAGTGCAGTTGACTAGATGCAAGCATCATTTGATGATGTGGCGATGAAACTGGTTTTGTTCTTACGTGTAAGTACGCTATAGGTCTAAAAATGTAGCATTCAGACTGTTTGCATTTAAATTAACCACTTTCCTAGTACTTTGTTCGTGAAACATTCGGATATTTATGTCAATAACGTATGCTTCAGAAATGAACTACCATTTGGACAGGTGAAGCTCACTATTAGTAGGCTTGCGAATGTTTCGTAAGTTATCTTTAGAATCGTTCTCAGTCTAATTAAAGGAAGCACTGGTTTGTCACAGTCAAACCACACATCTGCAGATTCGATTGGGGTTGATGTGTGGCAATGGTTTTGAGAAGTTCACGAGAAGTTATGAGAAGTCCTGTCAATTGTCATGAAAGTAATGTATGCCTTATACGACGAATAACAGCGCGCTTCAGTTTATCTGAATTAAAAATGATGTTTGACTGTTTCCATGAATGATTATTTGGAATATGTAATGATGAGGACCGGCAGGAATACCTATAATCCCCACGGAATGTAGTCACATGCTTGAAAAAGAAAGTTATACTTCTGGAAGTGGGGGTTAGTTTGAAATGCGACCCAGTTATTGTGCTTCGATTAGGTGCTCCGGTGAAACAGTAGATATTTTCTGGCATATATTCGTGAAATAAATTACCTAAACTGAAAGAGATATTCCTGAGAAACTATGAATCTGTACGTCTGTGAATAATTAAAATGCTCATGAATATAAGCGTTTGATCAGATCAACTCTCATAACATATTCATTGCATGTTAAATGTGCTAGATATGGTATTGTAAAACTTGGTTACTTTAGCCTGCACGCATGAACTCTAATGTATCTGCTACTCGTTCTACTAGAAGAGGTACCAGGATAAAAATAGAACTGGTCGGCGAGTATCTGATAGAATAACACTCGCTAGTAATTTTCAAAATCTAGATGTCTTCGTAACTGTATTCATATTAGTACTGAGGATTCCACCGATATTCAGAGTTGGACAATGTTTCTGTGTTTAACGCCTTTCAGATTGAGGACACCCAAAGCGAAGTCAAACCAGAAGTCGAGAATGAGGAGAGTCGAAGGTATATTTGAATGGTAGCTGTTATATCGAGGATTGAGTGGAGTAGGATTACTAGTTGATGCGTGGCACGGCATAGGTTACAGTGATCCGGTGTAGATGAGTTGCCGAACACACCCAGCTGAATACGTCTACCAAAACTAGTGAGATCAGCGTCGATTTCGAAAACCGATTGGACTATTTATTTTAGGGACTTATTGACCGCCTATGTCTCAAAATGTTCAATACGTAACAAATCGATTCTCCTCAGTTTTCGCCACAATATGTATCCCACTAAAGAATGAGGGGTATTGTGCGGGAATTTACAAAGCGTAATAGTACATATTGAGTAATGCCGTAGCATGTTCTTTATTTTTGTAGCATAAGTCAGATGAAAATTTCATCTGATACTAGTTAAATATGAGATCACGACAAGCCGACGATTTAATAATGATAATAATAATAATAATAATAATAATAATAACGTCTATTCTCAAATAACAGTTAGTTACATGAGGTCTGTCAGTTTACAGGTAAGATCGAGTTGTTGCAAATGCTGCGGCATTCAATGTAATCTGTTTCCCAGGTAGGCCAGTAATGATATTATTTTCCTGATGTAGCACGTTTATACCATTCCAACATCATCAATAGTTTGATACAGCCATATTTTAGACAAGTGATTGAAAATAGTGTAGACACACAACAGAGTTCCTAGGATGTATACATGATTCAGAAGTTATTGACAAGACGTTGTTAGGGGAGATTTACCTGCAGAGTATTTGTGTAGTGGAACAGACTGGTAATTTCATATATGTTAGAAAGTGTCGACTGGTCGATGATTGATATAAACTGTAACCCTGACGATCGCGTACGTAAGGTGCATTTTGTGTGGAAGAATTACCATGGTTAAGTGTTTTTGATAGCATAAAGTATCCAGATGTGTTAAATTTTCTGCATTGTTAATGGTGAAAAGTCTAACGAGTTTCAAAGGAACAAATATTACAAATTGTAACCACAGGTGATCACTCAGTGAATATATTGTGGTCTAAAGATTACGCGTCCTAAAGAAGGGATCTGTCTTTCGAAATGATATATCCGCATAGTGGAAGGGAGTCTTACAACCTGAGGCCAACTGATTTTTCATGAGATTGTGGTATAGCGAGCGAGTCAGATCAAGCTAAAAGAGAATACAACTTGACGATCACCATAAGATGGGTACATTTCATCGGTCCAGAAGTTGCTTTCTGTTGTAAGGAGGTGGAATAAATGTATAGACGAGCATCTGTCGATGTCATTCGGTAGTTCTAGCTTTCTCAATCAGGTACATATGTATCCGACAATCCACATCGTAAAAAACTATCAAACAGATCCAAAGATATATCCCCAATTATGACATTATAAACGATCAAATTGTTTCTGCCGGTCTTCCAACATGTTATATTTTACTTCATCCTTCTAAATAGCCTCTTTCTTAACAGTCTCGTCAAAAATGATGTGTCTACTCATCCTTTCTAAATATTTATAAAAATATGTATCGTGTATGTTTATGTAGTATATTGGTTTGTGCTGCATAGTTCATAGAGAACAACTTGCAAAACGTGTTGGTTCA